ACTCTGAACAATTGCAACCATTTAAAAAATTGAACCGTAATCAAAAGTATGCCTCTCACTTTCTGTCAAAGACACCGACCTACACAAAGTGACGTCAGCAAAATGGCAGACTAAGAAGCTCCGAGATCTCGTCTCCCCACAGAAACACCAGTAAAGCAAACGACATGTCTAAACCAGCCCTGTAGGAGCCTGGAAAATGATCGAAGGTTTACACCAACCAGGCAAACGCCCAGTGGAGCAAAGCCACCTTCACGGTGGCACGAAAGCTTCGTGGCCTTTGCCTCACTCTCGACAGCCTTGGTTTCCAGTGTCCCTCAGACACACACCTGCCTGGGAGGTAGGTGCCTGAAGGACTGACCTGCTCACCCTGGACCCGAGTGGTTTGGAACGTGCGGAAAAGAGGCGCTCGCTGCCTCAAGATAGGCAACAAAAAGAAACAGGTAAATTTGACTGTAGCAAAATTTAAAATCTTCCGTGCATCAAAGGACACAGTCAACCAAATGAAAAAGCAACATACGGAATGGGAGAAAGTCTTTGCAAATAGTAGGGGTTAATATCCCCAAAATATAAGGAGCTCCTACCACTCAACAACAGAAAATACCTGATCCAAAAATAGGTAAGGACTTGACATTCCTCCAGAGAAGATGTACAAATGGCTGACAGCACACGAAAAGATGTTCAGGATCAGTAACTACTAGGCAAATGCACATCAGAACTACGAGATACCACCTTAGACCCGTTACAATGGCTACTATAAAAAAATAAAATAACAAGTGTTGGGGAAGATGTGGAGAAACTGGAAGCTTGTGCACTGTTGGTGGGACTGTACAATGGTGCAGCCACTGTGGAAAACAGGATGTCAGTTTCTCAAAAAAAATGAAAACTGGAGCTACCATGTGATCCAGCAGCCTCACCTTAGATATATCTGACCTGGACAAGTATTTGTACACCCATGTTTGTACAGCATCGTTCACAGCAGCCAAAAGGCAGGAGTAACCCAAGTATTCATTGATGGACGAATCGATAAACAAATGTGCTCCTTGCATACGATGAAACATTATTCAGCCTTAAAAAGGAAGGATATTCTGATACGTGCAACTACATGCATGAACCGTGAGAACATCACACTAAATAAACCTGTCGCCAAAGGACAAGTATCATATGGCTCCACTTAGATGAGTTACCTAGAATAGGCAAATCCATACAGACGAGTTGGAACAGAGGTTACCAGGCCAAGAGGCTGTGCCCAAGTGATGAACAGAGGATGGGCTCGTGTAGACCCAGGGCCAGGGAACAGTCAGGGTCAAGGGTGAGCAGTGAGAAGAAACAGGAAGTTCAGAGTGGCTGGAACCCAATGTGAGGGGACAGAGTGACGAGGGGAGGCTGGAGAAGTAGCCAGACACTGGACCCCTCCGGGCCTCTTAGACAATGAGAAGGAGCTTGGTTTTCTGAGTCACTGGAAGTCACCAAAGGATTTTAGGTGAGGAAGTGGGCCTGATTCATATGTCACAAGTGTCTCAGAGGCTGAGTGACCCTCGCTCTGCAGAGTGGCAGAGGCAGTTCCTTCATTGGATGGGGACCTGGCCGCATGGCCACTGATCTCTCTCCCAGCCTTAAAAGTCTCAGCTGGTATCAATGAGCTAAGATAGAGCCCCCAGGAAGGTCCTGAGTGTTCTTGAACTCTGCACGACCACTGGCCACATTTGGTTGTTGACAGCTGAAGGGTTAGTCAGTGAAGTGACTTGCCCACCACACTGTACACAATTAGAATTAGTGTGGCAGCAGGTTAATTCAGTGCCCTAACCAGGAGACCACACAGAAGCATGGCCAGTAAACTTGAACTTGTGCCAAGGCCATGCTAAATAACCTTGTTAAAAACAAACAAAACCTTTTCTTTTTTTTTAAATTTAAATTCCACGGGAGCTGCTCATGTACTGTGTGTGTCTTCCCACCGGCCGGGACTGGCATTGTTCGACATCGTCCTACGGTCACGTTTTATGGGGTGTTTGAGGATTAGTCATACGGTGTGACATTGGAATTCGGGGATGTGGCTATCTCCAGATGCCAGATGAACTTGGACAGGAATCATTCTTCGTGTGCGTGTGTGTTTACCGCTGGGAACTTGGAGCTGTGGGGGCTCCCTGGACAGGGCCGTCCTGGCTGCGGCCATCACTCAGCAGTCACGTGCTCTTCTGTCTGACCCCCGTCCGCTGCCTATGTGGGACGACACCACGCGGACCTCAGTCAGCCCCGTTCTCGGCAGCACCTCCCACGCGGCCGGGCGAGGGCGGCCCGGCCCGGACTTGGCCGTGAGCTTACGGTCAGGCTTCTCTTTCGCTTTATCTGATGTAAAACTTGGTCCTCCGCCAGTCAGCCTTGCTCCCCACCGCAGCGAATGAGGGAACGAAGAGATGGATGCGTGGAGTGACTCAATGTTCCGGTCCAGGAACTCAGTGGAGAACCACGTGGAGCCCCAATGCGCCCGCTTCCTCCGAGCCGTTAGCAGCAGATGGCAGCGCCTTGCACACCCACGTGCACACACCGCAGAGGTGGAAGCGCCTTGCACACCCACGTGCACGCAAAGCGCATGCATCGTCGGCGGGCCCGGCTCTGGCTGCGGCCCGTGTGTTGCCCTGTGAGTCGTGAGCCGTTAGCAGCAGATGGCAGCGCCTTGCACACCTACGTGCACACACAGCAGAGGTGGAAGCGCCTTGAACACCCGCGTGCGCACACAGCAGAGATGGCAGCGCCTTGCATACCCACGTGCACACACAGCAGAAATGGAAGTGCCTTGCACACCCACGTGCACACACAGCAGAGGTGGAAGCGCCTTGCACACCCACGTGCACACAGCAGAGGTGGAAGCACCTTGCACACCCACGTGCACACACAGCAGAGGTGGAAGCGCCTTGCACACCCACGTGCACACACAGCAGAGGTGGAAGCGCCTTGCACACCCACGTGCACACAGCAGAGGTGGAAGCACCTTGCACACCCACGTGCACACACAGCAGAGGTGGAAGCGCCTTGCACACCCACGTGCACACAGCAGAGGTGGAAGCACCTTGCACACCCACGTGCACACACAGCAGAGGTGGAAGCGCCTTGCACACCCACATGCACGCAAAGCGCACGCGTCGTCGGCGGGCCCGGCTCTGTGGCTGCGGCCCGCGTGTTGCCCTGTGAGTCGCATCGAACTCTGTGCCCAGGAGCCCTTCGATCTCTTTGGCCATTGGCGCTGCCGTAACTAATCGGCCTCTCATTATGGGACTTCGGGGGCTGTTTCTACCGTTTCTGTTATTATAAACTGTGTGTGTTCTGACTGACACAGTTTGAGCTCAGTGTTAAGAGGTCGTGCTCAATCACAGGCGTGAGAATGTCTGTCCAGTAGCTTCGTAGAGGCGGGATGTGTACGTCACATCCTGACATACGTGGCCACTCCCATTTCCCCGCACCCCCCACCCCCACCCCCCGGGGCTGGACGGTACCCACAGGTTCAGTCTACAAGTAGATCTCATCGCTTCATCTGCAGTTCCCTAGCTACTGGGTGTGAACATCTTAGAAGGATGCCTGTCTCACGAATTGCCTATGCCCGTCCCTTGCCTGTCTTCCCGTTGGGTTAGTTATCTTCGTCACCTTGTTTTACAACAATGCGTCCATACTATGGACTCTAATCTTCTGTTACGAATACAGAACCCTCTCAGTCGGCCTCGTCTCTGACTTGTGTCTGGTGTCGTCCGTGTAGCGGAGGCTGTAACGTCCCATCATTACCACCCCGCTCCTCCCCCCATGGGACGTCAATGTGGGTCACTCGGGAAGGTCCTCCCCGGTCCCTCCCCCGAGCTTTAAATTTAGCCTCCCAGCTCTCCAGCTGATACTTCCATGTTTATTAATGTTTAGAGCTTTAATCCAGCTTAATATTATGCGGCGTGAAGGGAGCATGCCACCTACTTAATAACGCATCTGTTGTCCGCTGGTTTTTAACGGCCCCAGAGTCACTTCTCCATTCCCATAATGCACATGGCTAGGTTTAGGGACTTTGTTCTCTTCCGTTGACCCGTTCATCTGTTCTGTCTGTTCTTTGCTAATTATGTACTATTTTACTACTGTAATTTCGTAGTGTGGTTTGGTATCTGGTTTGTCCATTTCTCTTTCATCGTTCCTTTTTTTTTCAAAATCATCTTCCTGTGCATTTTTTTTCTTTCATATAAACTTCAGAATAAGCCTCTCAATTATTTTTTTCGGAACATTGGGAATTTCAGGATTATATTGGACTTTTAGGTAAATCAGGGAAGAACAGCTTCCTTTTGCAGTGTTTTCTGGCTTTCGAAAATGACATTCTGTCAGAAATCTAAAGGTAAAAACTGAATTCACAGAGTTTTTAAAACCAGGAAGAAAATATGGCCGAATTCCTTTATAACCACGTGGAGAGAAAGGCTTTCTACCTAGGATTCAAAATCCAAATGCAATACAAGATTGATATGGTTCGAATACATAAATAAAAATGTTTCCACGGCTGGAGCTTGCATAAGAAAAGTCAAAAGACCAGTGACAAACTGAGAAAATATAGACAGCACATATCACAAATAAGGGACTCCTGTCAACATGTAGATTATAATAGTTCCTGCTTCACCGCGTCGTGGAGAGAACTAAGTAGTACGCACAGTCCTAGTAATAAGTGCTAAAATTCCATTATACACCATTATTATAATCGTACCATGTGCGTCACGTGTCTATGCTGGCGTTGCTTCTGAAGCTCGGCTGGCCGGAGGTGCGTTTGCACTGGGAGTTAAAATCCGGGACTGCGTCCCGAGCCACAGCTGAGACGAGCCATCTCTTCCCTGTATTCTGAGAAGGAAGCCGTTGTCTCCACACCTCACAACCATCGTAGCTTTGCAGCCTCCGTCGCTCGTCTGAGATTCCT